TGCAGGACTTTGAAAAAGTTTAGATTTTAATCTATTTATGAAAGAATATTTGTTTTGTTCATCTGCCTGGAAGATTATTTCAGAATATTTGAGTGTTGTTAACATAGCTGGATACTGGCTGTGGAAGAATCCTTGTAGGGAAGACCTAATGCCTGTCAGTTTCAAGGCTCAGTTTCTGAGATGCCAACCATAGGCCTCTGACAAGCAAGCAAGCAAGATAGTCTGGTTTCTCCTACACATCTATTGTCCAAAAGGATAATACATTTAAATGTGAAGGTTACAATTAGAATGAATCATATTGTTCTATTCATTTTTAAAAAATCTATTTGGAAGAGTTACCTACCTTCCTTTTATGGGAATTCCACCTTAGGAATTATTTAGGCTAATTCCTTGCGACTGTAGACAAACACTCACTATCTCAACCTATTTACAGTACGAACCTGTAGCTCTAACAAAGGCAGTCCTATAATTCTTTGATACCCTCCATGCACTTATTAGTTTCCCTTCTTTTACTTTTCCCATAGTTACCAAACAGTAATATTTTTTTCTGACATTGATTTGCATCACATGCCTGCTTGCATATCATCATCTTCTCAAGGGAGTAGCAAGTCATTATTTGTTCCAGGGTTGATTGATGGGTTTTTCTTGCAGCCCACAATATTCTTAGCAACCATTTCCAGACCTATGCTTGAAAGCATTTTGAAGACCATTTGTGCTGTTTATGTGTGGGTTAGGGGAGTTCTTTTAACAGAAAATCAAATTTACATTTCAATTTGTAGTACATGCTTTATCCTTACAACACAGGCAGATGAAGTTGATTTTGTGGCATGTGTGAAAATGTTCATTGTCCTGTGTCTCTCTTAGGTGTAATTCAAAGTCATACTGGTAGTGGCAATGAGATATTGTACCCTCTGCAATGATTAGGGTATGCAATGTAGATCCTTGTGTACAGTGACTCTTGGCTACTCATCCATATCTGAGTAATTGCTTGTAATTCTGACTAATTCCTTCTTTGAAGTTATTGCCCAATATCAACCTCATTTTATTTGGATAAAGGTTGAAAGCATTAAGCAACTGATTAAGTTTTTCTTTACCACAGATTTCTTACGTAGTTTGGAATTTGCCTTAGACTGAATTTGGCTATTGGTTCATGTAATTACATTTTATAGTAGCAATGCTAGGGTTTTAAAGCAAAGATCTTTCTTGGCCCCACAAGGATTGAACATGAGATGGTCTGCATTGAAAGCCTGACTGTTCCACCAGGATATAGCTCTCCTGTAGTACAGGAAGAGTATGAGTCTTTGCATCACCTATTTAACAAATCTAGAAAACTTCAGTCCAGTTGCTATGATTTAATCTTTTTAGATACTTTTGACCTGGATGATTGAGTCTTCATTTATATGTTGCTTTTCATTTTGGGGAGAAACCCCTAGGAGTCTGTATAGCAGGAGTTGGTTCATTTCAACGACTCTCTGCCTACCCAAAATTTTCACTTTGACTGAAGGAGTTACTTGGATGAGTAACGAAACATCTCAGGTTGTTTGGTCCAGTTGCTGTAACGTAATCTTTTTAGATAGAAATCTAGTGCTTTTGTGCACATAGTACACAAAATTATGATTAGTTTTATTTTTAAATTGTGATTGCAAAGTTTCGTTATGTTTCATTGCATTGAAGTTTCTATAATAAACAATATTACTATATCAAACCATTTACCATACTTATTTACCTAATCGATATAGCCGCTGATCTCATAAAAAGCTAAAGTTACTGGATATACTTGCATATAAGGCCGTCTGTGCATAAGCAAATTTTTAATCAAACTTTGGTGAAAATGTGCTACCTGCAGATAAATTAATCCACATCTTTCATGGTATTTTGGTCAAATATTTAAGCGTTGGCTTATCCATGTATGGGTTTATGTATGAGTACATAGAGGAAATACAGTTTTTTTTAAAAAGCATTACTGTACATACTTGCGGATAAGTCCATCCATGTATAAGCCAAACCTTATTTTTTCTCAGTTTCTCTGCAAGTATATATGGTACTTCTTTGACGCAACCTGAAAGTTACAGATAGTCCTGGTGAAACGATTACTTATTGTCATGGTAGGTTTGGATTTGGAGTCTGAGGAGGAGACCAATAATGAGTAGCAAGTGCCAGATCCAGTTTCAAAAGTGCTGACAGATGAGGAACAACGTCAACTCCAGTGCTATCAGATGGACTGCCATCTGAGCAGGCAGAAGTGGTGGAACCAAACAGCAACCAGCAGTCACAGCTGATTTCACTCTCTGAAGATGAGGGTATGGGATTACTGCAAGTGTTCGGTGGGCTGCAAAGAGATTAGAACAAAAGTGCTCTGTGAGATTGCTCAGCAGAAGAAGTCTGCCCCACTAAATAAGCTACACGAGGGCTGTTTCTGTTAAAAGGTCTCCATTAACAACAACTGCTCATTAATTCTTACTCCATGTGCCTTGATTTGCGAACCTTGCAATCCAGATTTTGAACCTGGACCAGCTGATGAATCCACGACAAGCTGTGATCCTTGGACACCACCTGACTATTATTCTGCCTGCCACTTTGATTTAGAAAACTCGTAAGCCAGGCTTGCTGAATGTCTGGAGGCAACTTGTCTCTATACTGCAAATGTATGTATTTGCAAGCCTTATCTAGTGAAGAGAACAAACCTATGCTTTCGTGTATTTGTGTGATGTTGGCTAAGGACAGGACTCTCATTAAGTGATGGTTTGAAGTTACAACAGCATTGAATTACAGTCTGTATGATAAATCGTGGCCATTGCAGCATCCCCAGAATGTGATCACAATTCAGATGCTCGACAACTACAATGTCCAAAGGTCACATGATTGCTATTTGCAAACTCCACTTCTGGCTTCCAAAAAGGAAAGTCAATGAGGAAGCTGGCAGGAGATCATAAATGGTTATCATGTGACTGTGGACTTTGTGACCACATGGGGTTCATCTAATGACAACAGCTGGGACTGCCATAACTGCTCTCCTTAGATGGAATGATCATTTGATGGCATGCTTTATTACTGCATTGCTTAGCAACAGAACTGCCAATCCTACTTATCATCATTAAGCAGGACTACTTGTATTCATTTTGTCATTTATGACACATAAAATCTCGCCTATCTCAGTAAAATAATGAATTCTCAATTATATGTTTCTGAGTGATTGGGTTTTGCTTAATTTGAGTTAGTAAAATTTAGATATCCTATACACTATGTAGTATATTTTTAAGAAGGACTTATATCCATTTGAGTAATACGATTTAAATTTGATTAGGGATTAATTCTTGTTTTTATCATTTTGTTTGCATAATTTTCAACAATTATTGATATAAAAATATTTTACAATTTTTACCATTTCTATTTTCTCCTTCTTAGTACCAGTATAATAGTCTCCTTTGGTGAGATGGGCAGCTAAATTTATTTAATACAATAAATAAATAAAAATTATATTCAGGTTTCCTCCATATCAGACTCCCCATATCAGATCTTAATAACTGTTTCACTAGCTTCTGTAGAAGTTGATATGCTTCTGATTCAACCCATATGGAAGCAAATGTTTATGGGAGCGGTTTATTGTCCAATTTCTCTTTAACAAAAATAAAACTCCCAAGTGTTTCCCTTACTTTAAAAGTATATTAGCTTTAAATAGAATTTCAACCCCTCTAAATAATTTGTTACTGCTGCAAGATATTGTTTGTCAAAACATTTTTTCTATATATCCTATTTTGTATGTTTCTTGAAGTTTAGTTCTTTCTAATACAATATATGATGCTAAATCTTTTCACCTTGTGCTGAATGCACTAATAACAAATTTATATCTCTAAACAAAAGAAAAACCATCATGATTGATTGCTCCTCCCCTTTCCTTGTATTCCTTCCTTTCTTTATCCCTTAATCTCACATGTCCTTTTGTCTTCCCTTAGCCAATCCCACCATCCTAATTTAGGAAATGAACTTCAGTAAATTAAAATAAGATCCAGTCCCGAGCTCCTTGCTTGGTCTATTAATTACTTTTAACTCTTTGGTGGTCTAATGTTTAATTTTAAAATTGATTAGGTCTGTTGGGAGAGTGGGATTGGGGGATGGCTTAGTATAGATATGTCAGTATGTTGTATGAGTTCAGATCATTTGTTCAGTTAGTGTATTTGAGCATCCAATTCATAGAAACCACTAAATCAGATAACTGAATAAAGAGGAAAGGGTTTTATATGAATCTGTTCCTACACCATATAGCTGTTGATGATGTCCTAAAGAACTTAGAAATTGCAATTAATGTTTAACTTCTCATTGTGTTTGTAGACTAGTTGAGGGCAGAAGGTAGCTGTTCTTCTACAAGACTCATGTGTAGCATTTCAGTTTTGGCATACTGCCCGTTCCTAGTTATTAGCATCTGCATATTTATTCCCCAACGAGCTCTTTTTGTATCCCAGAGGTATTGCTTTTATAACTCTGAGCTTGTTGCTGACACATCACTAGCACTTAGCCGTTGTTGTTTTTTTTGCTTGCTGCTCCTATTTTTATATGTATTTTTCATTCCTGTGTAAATCAATACCAAGCTCGAATTTGGGGCCTAGCTGGATATGGCAAGTCCTTTCAGAATCAGTTATTTATAAGAAGTTCCATGTAAGTGATCTTTAGATTGTCCTGCCTTACTATAATCTTTCTAGAATGAAATCTATCCTATTTGATGTTTTGTTTACCACATTTGAAATTTGGTGGGAAGGATTTGTTTTCCACATATATCATGATATCAATTACATTACGTGGCACTGTCTTCTGTCAGATTCATAATAAGCATTAGTCAATTAAAGCTAGACATAATTCTACCAATGAACAAGTAGGAAAAGTTAAAACATATACCCCCTTTGAATACTAAAAATGCTGGAAGTGGAAACAGATCTAGCAATCCTCATATTATGACTGGCCTATGATACAGCAACATAAATAACTTGTGCCTTTTCTCTTTCCAGATTGGCACACTCTCTGCTCGCTCTCTTTGCTTCATCCCTGGCTATTTCTGTGGTTTTTGCCATCATCCCTGTCTGTCACAATGTGGTGGTTCTTGCGGTGGTCATGGCTGTGGCTGGGCTGGCGATGGGGTGTATCGACACACTTTCCAATATGCAGCTGGTGAAGATTTATCAGAAGGATTCAGCGGTCTTCCTGCAGGTGAGAAGGAGACTGGTGGATGCCGGGCCTAATTTTGCACCCCTGCTTGTTTTGCTTGTATTCCCCTCCTTCTCCATTGCTTCATAACTGTTCAAGGCTCCCTTGTACTTGCCATGATGAGGAATGTTTTTCTCTGATAGGGAAATATGAAGATAAGTAAACTGAGTCCCATTTTTATGCTGGGGAGAAGGAAGAACATTTTCATTTTGTACTGAGCTTGGATGGTTTATTATCTTCAGAGTCAAAATCAGTGCAACATGGAGGGGAAGCCTCAAACTTCTTGGTGCTTTCAAAAAGACAGAATTTTCCTAAACACTATATTAGAGCATTTAGAGCAAAACCTGTGATTAGAAATGGTAAATGCTGCTGCATGTGGGCATCTCTGGCTTTCTCTTGTGTCCCAAATACCTGTATATTTTCTTTTCTGCACCCTCCATGTTGCATTTTGGAATATAATATTTTGATTTCCTTTCAGTTTCTGTTGTGAGATATAAGTATGCAAATACAAGTAGATCAATTGTAAATATACTAAAAGTATTATTTATAATACTTTTATTATAATATATTAAAAGTATATTTATAAAAGTAAATATATTGGTGGGAAAGTAACAGTGCTGTGTGACACCATGCTGGCCACATGACTGCAGAAATATCTTTGGACAGCACTGGGTCAATAACTTTGAAATGGAGATGAACACCACCCCCTGTATTTGGCAACAACTAGCAGAGAAAAATCCACAAGGACTCCTTATCTCGATTTTATATATACCTTAGTCCAAGCAAAAAGATATGTGCCCTATACTGTCCTTCTCCCCAGATTAACACTTGAAAAAAAAGCTAAACTAGAAGTAAAGGCATGTTGGCTTCAAATAGATGCATGATTTAGAACTAAGGAATGCTGCACATAATGAATTAATGCAATCATTTCAATGTTGATCTGGCATTCAGACCAATCAAGAGTACCAGAACATGAGCCTCAGGAGCAATAGAATTGAGTGTATCAATGTATAACTTGTTTCTGAATAAGTAAGACAAGATGTAAGTACTTCATTGTGTTAGAATAATGAATGTACAATCCTTTATCAATAGAAGTTAAACTGTGGATACATTTTAGCAATAATAATAGCATTTAGACTTATATACCGCTTCATAGTACTTTACAGCCTCTCTAAGCGATTTACAGAGTCATCATATTGCTCCCAATAATCTGGATCCTCACTTTACTGACTTTGGAAGGATGGAAGACTGAATCGACCTTCAGTCGATCACAATCAAACACCTGGCAGTGAGCAGAATTAGCCTGTAATTCTGCATTCTAACACTGCACCACCATGACTCTTTTGTCAGTTTTGTATACATATTTCTATATATTTTGTCAGTTTTTTTGTATTTTAGAGTTCTTATCATGTTCCCATTTACTAAAATCGATACTTTCCTCTTTCTTGCACACTCCATTCAAATCATGTTAATGTTACATATGAAGCTGTTAAAACATATCTTTGGCTTGGGAAACTATCATTCTATGGTAACCATTTTACCACAATCTCATCTTCTGCTACCAAAAGATAGAGACATGTTACAACATTTTCCTGGAGGATTAATCTTTGCTTAGCCATAACCTAGCCATTAATCCTATCTTGGATAACATACTAGCTATGGTTAAAGCAAGTTAATCTATAGCAGGCCACAGCTATAAAATGAGATTAAATTATTCCTACTCCATCATAATCTTAAGTAATTATCTAGTTTAGCTGATATAATAAACCAAACCATAATATGGTTTAGCATGTTATATTGAACAGAGTTACAATATTGATTTGCATCACACCTGAAGTCAGCATCATAATTGTGCTGACTTATCCTCTGATTCTTCTGTGGTATAGGATATGTCTATAGTTCCAGTCTCTCGCATAGGAAAAGCAAAATGTCAAGAGCACTTGGGTAGCATATGAAGTTTATTGCAGAGTTAACTGTGCATACAGCCTTCCACAACCTGTCTCTAGAACCCAGATGAATTTAGCGATAAACTATTAATTCATTCTGAACCCTATTCATTTCATCTGGCCAGATTTGTTACTGGCAATGTTGGATATCACAGTCTGAGAGTAATTAACCAGCTTTTCTCTTTGTTATTCTCTGTAGGCCCTTCATTTTTTTGTGGGTTTTGGTGCCCTGCTAAGTCCTCTGATAGCTGACCCTTTTCTATCAGACACCAATTGCATCCTGGCAAATGGCACAGCCAGTGGTAGTAGCAACCTCCCTCACATCCGGAAGTCATTGGTCCCACATCATCCTGGGAACCTGACACATTATGACCTACCCTTAAAAGGACTGACCAGAGTGTCTTATGCTTTCTGGATTATGGCTCTGATCAACGTAAGTATGGCCACCTTCATAGTCAATGGTTCATTCCATGTATAATGTTCATACACATCTTCAGAGTAATGCAAGTAGAAGCTTCTGATTCCAGGTTGCAATTTTTTTGACATTCTGGCAGATCAATCTTCTCAAAATGTTTCCGCCATCATCCTTTGTCCAAATATTACAGTCATATGAACTATGGGGCACAGATAAAATTTAAAGCTTTACTTTAGAGTTATCGCATTTCGAGAGGACATGAGCATAAAAGCAACATTCAGTAGAGTGTTCTGCTTCTGCAGAAATTATCAGATTGACAAGGAATAGATTGCCTAAATGGTTTGCTACAGAAGAACCATACTTTGCCTGATATTTAAATCTTGCTAAACCAGGAAACAAATTCATAATCCTCCTCAGTCCTTTCTGAAACAGTCGCGGCCTTTTCTTCCTCTTTTATAGAGTCCAGTTAGATTAATTGACATTTTTCCTATTTTCCCTTGTTAATAAAATTCCACATTTCAAGGAAGAAAGTCTGGAAGTAAGAGGACTAGTTAATGACTGATGTTTTTCATGATCAGTAACATTTCAAGAGGGCGTTTGCTGATTTCAGTCTCCACTCAGCCTTGAGCTTGTTAGACCTGTCAGAACAGGTTGAAGAACAGCGTGAAGTTATATGTTCCCTTGCAGTCCTCTATCTTTTATGTGGGTATTTCTTTTATTTTTATTAACCTTAATGAACGTACATGTTTACATCATATAGTGAATACCACTCAGTTCACGGAGACTTATTCTAAAGTTGGTGCACTATTGAGAATTTGAATGGCATGGCAAGGGTGAAGCAGTGGATGTGGGTCTGCCCTGGTTACAGACAATGAGAGGGTACATTAATTGGCAACTTGGAGGTGACAAAGAGGCCATTTGGAAGGTTGGTGGCAAGTGTGGAGTCAGGTCACTGCTGTCAGCGTGCCAATCAGTGTCTACACTGAATGGACAGAGGAATTTAAGTAAATCTACCCTGTACCCAGTCAGTCATACCAATAGAAGCTTTGCTTATTTATGAGAGGTTGGGGAGGACAGGCAGAAAGGGAGGAATTAAATTTGCCTTTTCTCACTAACTGCACGCATGTTGTGCTGTATGAATAAACATAAAAGAGGATATTGAAATGGTCGCAGACATTGCTATTATGGCAATACACAGGTTAAACTCCAGCAAAAAAGATAGTGGGGCTTTTGTTCCAAATTTGGGGGAGGGGGGGAGTTGGTGGTGGTGGTGGGTTGATATTTTTTATTAATACGTTTTGCAATTCTTAATGCACTGTATTGTTTCAGTACAATTATAGTTATGCAGTATTAATTAAGGATTGATACTCCATTATTTAGATAACTGAGACTGTGGAAATAAAGTAAAATGAAATATTCTATCAATATTAATTACAATTTAGGATGATAGTTTTGGAAAGATAACTTTCAACCAAAATATAATATATTCATATAACATATAATATATGTTATATGAATATAACATTAGAAAAAGAAAGCCACTGCTGATTGCATCAAAATATTTGTTGTACAGTAAAACTTTCATTCTTGAGCTGACTACTTAGTGTCAAAGTCATCATCGTATTGTTACTTAATAGTTTTAAATATTTCTAAACAGATAACAGATAATCAGAGTTGGAAGGGACCTTGTAGGTAATCTAGTCCAATCCCCTGCCCAAGCGGGAGACCCTACACGATTTCTGACAAATGCCAGTCCAATCTCTTCTTGAAAGTCTCAACTGATGGCACTCCCACAACTTCCGAGGGCAAGCTGTTCCATGGGCAGATTGTTCTCACTGTCAGAAAGTTTCTCCTTGTTTCCAGGTTAAATCTCTCCTTGTTCAATTTCCATCCATTATTCCTTGTCTGGCCTACAGGAGAAGAGAGAGAATAGTTAAGCAAATTTAGCAACAATTAAAAAACCAAAAAAAGGAAGAAGGAAAGTAACTGTTGAATTTCTAACTTTTCCCTTTTTCTTCATATGCTGATTTACTGTGCATGTAAACATTTAAGTTCTCTGGGAAGCCAGACTGTATGGCTTGTAATTGCCATGCTGTGAAATATATTGCAAATAGGGAAATCATTCCTGCCTAAATTTGGTTAAACCTCAATTATGAATATATACTGTTAGTTTTGCCATCACTTCATATTCTCCAAATTTGAGTTTCCAGTCACACATTGTTGGAATTGTATGCTGCTTCCTGCGTGGGGCAAGATTTATTCTTGGTGCTGTAAGCATATATTTCATTAAATTATGGTGATTATTTTCTAAGAAAGTAAGAAAATTTGTGGCTTCATTTCAAATTTAAATCCCAGAGTTTTTTCAGCATTGTATTATGTATACCGTTCCAATAATTTGTGGTTTTTAAACATGTCTACCAGATGTGATAAAACATTATTTTGTATTGAATCATTTCCAAAATTTATTAGAATATTGTCCCAAGTTGTTATGTCTTTTTCATTAGGTACAACGAAAGACTTTTGGCGGAAATGGGCATTTAAAGGAAGGGCAAATCACACTGTTGTAGTCTTCCTATTATGAGTTTCATATATGAGTTGGTTATAATCTCATCATGTTATATGCTTGGAAAATTGTTATACAGGTACTCTTCAACTTAATGACAATAATTGAGCCCAAAATTTCTGTTAACTGAGACATTTGTTAAGTGAGTTTTGCCCCGTTTTACGATTTTCTCCTTTCTTGCACAGTAATTAAATGAATCATTGCAGTTGTTAAGTTAGTAACAAGGTTGTTAAGTGAATTTGGCTTCTCCCTTGACTTTGTTTGTCAGAAAGTGATCCTGGGGCACTGCAACTGTCATAAATATGAACCAGTTGCCGAACAACTGGATTTTGATCATGTGATGATCAAAATGCTGCAATGATTGTAAATATGAAAAACGGTCATAAGTCACTTTTTTCAGTGCCATTGTAACTTTGAACGGTCACTGAAGGAACTGTTGTAAATTGAGGACTACCTGTATTCTGAACCAGTATTTACAATGAGATTTGGGAAACTACTGCCATTTTGCTAAATGAGGAAAGATAAGTTGTAGATGACAACTATTGACAAAAATCCTTTCTAATTGTCACTTGTAGCTGACTGACTTTCTGTCTGCCAGTTTCTCTGCTCTGTTCCTGCTTCCTGAGAATAAGAAACTAACCAGTGTGACTCCAGCAGAGATCCTGGGCAGGAGGAGACCTCTTGAGAGCCAAAATCTGGGCTGTGAGGTTGACATCTGCACAATCCTGTCATAGGCATCATTGAGTTGAACAGGCCTTGTGTTGAGAAAAGCTATTTCTTTTCTCTTTTATAATGTACTTGTTGGCTTCTTAGTTTTAAAAAAGGCAAAAAAGAACCCCTACTAGTTAGAAAACACTAACTTCTCCTGGGTGACAGTCTCATAAGACCTGTTACTGGAGGAAATAGCTTGTTATGATTCTCTGCTCTGATAATGCAAAACTTAAATCTGCAAAATGTGCTTGTACAATTTTTAATACTTCACAGCCTCTGCAAGGTTTTCCAGCACTTGGGTGGGTGGCAGAGCTTCTATTTTCTGCCTCTCTTGGGAAATATAAGACAGATCTACTTTACATGCCAAATATGATGTAGATGAGCAAAACATATGGAGCTGGTAGAACATAAGAAATGAATATTCTTTATCAAAAGGGAAAGTGGGTTTTTTTTTCAAATTAAACAATATGGTGATAGAGTTGGCAGGGTGTGAAAATGCAGTGTGAAATTCTGCAAAGTGTAAGAAAATATGTGGGATTGGTATGAGGGATACCTGCACTGGGTGATACTTACACATAGGCACAAAATAAATATAAAATGTATGGTTTATGTATTCTTTTTAATCAGAGAAATGCTACAGATGTTTCAGGATTCAAAGACGAAAGATCAAATACTGAGGAATTAGTGGGGACAGCATGTCAGGCAGAGCAACACTTTTGCAATCCAGTGCTTATTATTTAACACAATAAATCACATCCATCTGTTTTGAATAGTTGGTCAACAAGAAAGAATGGGCAACTTGGAGGCCTTACACCTCATTTACCAACCTCAGAAGGATGAAGACTGAATCAACCTTGACCCAGTCAGGCACAAACTACAGGCCCTGGCCAGAGTTTGCCTGCAATACTGCACTTTTACCACTCCACTACCAGGGCTCCTGTTTTAATTGTCCAAAAAGCATTATTAGATTGGCCCGGAGCTACCCAATGAACTTGGTTAATGAAAATCATAATTGTAGCACTGTTAAAAAGTGACAAAGTTTTTATATGATGTGATATCTATCACAACTACTTCTTGAGTAAAGGAGAACATGAATGAATGAAGTGGAAAATAGTGACAACTGCTAACTACGTTAACTTTGAAGTGATTTATGTGTGTTCTTTTTTTGATAGATAATTTGTGACAAATCTTCTAGCAATAATACTAACACTGGATGTGTGCCTTAAATGTTTTTGTGTATTAAGTGATGAATATGCCCTGAGTTCTTTGGATGAATTGATCTTGAATTCTGGAATATAAGATTCAAAAGAATTCCAAAAGATTGTTTTCCTAAAAGTTCACATAATGCTAGAAGACTTCTAGCATTCCCTGCTCCACCATCTTTTAGGGTAAGCATTTGTAACCAAGCATCATCCAGCTTGGGTAAAAAGCCCAGCACTGCTAACAAGTAATATGCAATAATGAGGGATGCTGAGAAATGTATTTTAACAATATTTGAAACATTATAAATTTTCCCACCCCATCTTTCCCTTCCTGTGGTGGAAAATTATATTACCCTGACACAATATAAAGCTTATTGTGAAAGGCTCTGTCATGAACTTAAATACCTCTTTTCCCATTGGATTGCTACTGTGATCAAATTCCTGCACCTTCATCCATCCATCCCATCATATTCTTAAATATTATTCCTTGGTTTCTTTGTGATCTAGTGTTAGCTGCAGTTTGTCCTAAATTTCATTTCTTC